TGATGTTCAGGTATATATCAGTATGTAGTGTTTCTACTTTAAACAGTCCTCTCCTGCTGATGTTCAGGTGTATATCAGCATGTAGTGTCTCTACTTTAAAGAGTCCTCTCCTGCTGATGTTCAGGTGTATATCAGCATGTAGTGTCTCTACTTTAAAGAGTCCTCTCCTGCTGATGTTCAGGTGTATATCAGTATGTAGTGTATCTACTTTAAAGAGTCCTCTCCTGCTGATGTTCAGGTGTATATCAGCATGTAGTGTCTCTACTTTAAAGAGTCCTCTCCTGCTGATGTTCAGGTGTATATCAGTATGTAGTGTCTCTACTTTAAAGAGTCCTCTCCTGCTGATGTTCAGGTGTATATCAGTATGTAGTGTCTCTACTTTAAAGAGTCCTCTCCTGCTGATGTTCAGGTATATATCAGTATGTAGTGTCTCTACTTTAAACAGTCCTCTCCTGCTGATGTTCAGGTGTATATCAGCATGTAGTGTCTCTACTTTAAAGAGTCCTCTCCTGCTGATGTTCAGGTGTATATCAGCATGTAGTGTCTCTACTTTAAAGAGTCCTCTCCTGCTGATGTTCAGGTGTATATCAGTATGTAGTGTCTCTACTTTAAAGAGTCCTCTCCTGCTGATGTTCAGGTGTATATCAGTATGTAGTGTCTCTACTGTGACATGTCTCCATGCTTTAATGTTCAAAAAGCTCTTTATTTTTCTCATACTGTCTGTGCTGCAGCACCTCTTCTCACCCTCTGTCTGAAACCAGAGCCCAGTCCGCTCTGATTGGTTAGCTGGCCGGCTCTGTTGTGATTGGTCAACCGCTTAGAGATGTCCCACCCCTTAGCCTATCACGTACAATGTGTTGGAGCGCTAGCCAATAGGGGCGTGAGTGTTACACAGTGATGTCATTATGTTCTGGAAGTAAACTAACGAGACACATTTTAAAGGGTTAACCCCAACTTAGCCATGATGAATATGGACACTGTAGTTTATATTGACTGAATCCTAAAGGTAATACTCACTATAGGGCACCAAATGTGTATTAATACGCACTAGAAAATAGTCCCCATCAATGCACTTCTGTTTGACTATTGTTTGTTATTTTGGGTCATATCTGAGCCTTTTGAATAATTAATGTTTGTGGTTTTTAAAGATTCAGTAGAGACAGATGGCTTCAGTGCCACGGACAGTTTAGGGAAATATTCTCAGAAATATGGAGAGGTTAGTATAAGCAGTGAGGACATATATGATAAACAAAACAGTGACATCGCCACAAATTGGGTCTTCCATCTTTTCCTCTTCCTCTCTTCTGTCTTCCATCTTCTCCTCTTCCTCTCTTCTGTCTTCCATCTTCTCCTCTTCCTCTCTTCTGTCTTCCATCTTCTCCTCTTCCTCTCTTAAGTCTTCTATCTTTTCCTTTCTGTCTTCCATCTTTTCCTCTTCCTCTCTTCTGTCTTCCATCTTTTCTTCTTCCTTTCTTCTGTCTTCCATCTTCTCCTCTTCCTCTCTTCTGTCTTCCATCTTCTCCTCTTCCTCTCTTCTGTCTTCCATCTTCTCCTCTTCCTCTCTTCTGTCTTCCATCTTCTCCTCTTCCTCTCTTAAGTCTTCTATCTTTTCCTTTCTGTCTCCCATCTTCTCCTCTTCCTCTCCTCCTGAGGCTGCTGTGTGAAGAAAGGCACGTTGACTTCCACGTGAAGCCTTTTCTATTCGCTGGCATCCTCTCTGTGACCAGTCTGCCCGGCCTCCATCTTATCTTCCTCCCTATACCTTCCTCCCGCTCACTGTCTCTCCCCCACAAACAGCTGGATGATAAAGTCATGAGGGTGAGAGAGGGGAGGACAGAGTAAAGGCTGCTGCTCATTCACTGATAAGCGAGAGGGTGCATCTCTGCGAGGACAATTACACAACGCTTCCTTGAAGAGAAGCCAGCAGCCGACCGCTTTACCGCGATACTCAATTATGTAAGAAGACAGAGCTCTCTGCTCTGTGGGTCGGAAACACACTGCATTGTTGTTATTTTGGATTTGTAAAGTGTGTACAGGTAGATTCACAGATATTAATGTTAATTTGAGCTACATCTAAAGCAATTTATTTTACATTTTCCTTCCTCACTGACTTATGGATCCTTTAATTTGTCATGATAAATTAAGGGACACGCTACAGGCAATACAAAAATCCACATTTTGCGGTTTAATGTTGCGATCTTTGGGCTATGTTGCCTCAATATTATGTTTCCTTTCAAAATAGTAAGAATAAAACATCCAAAATACATAATAAGGTGTATATTTAAGTGTGAACAGTGCAGTCACAGAGATGAATGTCAGCATTTTAATACTATTTTAAATATTGCTTCAACCTTCACTCGAGGGTTCTTTATTTTATCACAATGATTGAAATCGGACAAAAAAACATGCTATTTTTTTTTATCATGTGCTGGTTAATTTTAAGGTTTTGATGTCAGACCAGTGGAAAGGAAACATCCATGGCACATAATTAGGATTATATTTTACTTATTTTGTCTAATTGCGTCTGTAGATTACCCATAAATGACCCAAACATTGGCATAAGATAATGCCTCATTTGCATATTCAAACAGTACATTTCAGAAAACTTGCAAAACGAAAAATAATTGTCTTAATGTCAGTAATGAACTTGGGAGGTTTCATGGAAATTAGTTTATTTGTTTACCCCATCCACCTCCTGTACACTACATCCTGTATCTCAGCTCGCTGACATGATGCAGACCCTCCTCTCCTCACTGCAGCCATTCTTTCAGATCAACTCTCCACCTTCCCTCGTGCACTTGTGAAAAAAACCTCTGCACACAATGCAACAAGGCGTTAGCTTCTCTGTGGGCTAGGTTACCTTAGCAACATGTTACGTGGAGACAGAGGAGGCTATATGTGAGCTCGGAGGTGGAGACTAACAAGGACATTTCAGCAAAAAAAAAGAAGGATTCAACTAATTCTGTTTTGCTCAGTTAATGGCCTCAAGTGCACCACACACAGAAGAGGCATTGCTCCACTTGTTAAAAAAATGATGCTCATGTCCTGTTACATAATCTGCAGCATTAGCGTCCAAACATAGTGCCTCACACACTGGAGTGTCTGCAGAGAGACAAAGAGCCCTTGGGTGCATGCATGGTCTCATTAAAGCACAAAACAGCATTCTGCACGCACACACTTCATTATCAACCTCCACCATCACAGACATGAGTAGTTTTTTTACATGATTAACCCAAAATTGATTCAGAAAAGTGTCATTTTATGTCAAATCCCTCCCTAATGCTGCACCGAGGCAGCAATCGATGCCCTTCCTGTGTTTAAAGCTAAATATCGTGACACTTTAGCCTCTAAATCAGGATTTTGGTCACCATGTTTATGTAGCTTCAGGTATTTGAATAAATGTTGTTGTTCAAAATTGTATTTCGGCCATTTTCTTTGTACCAGACATAACAAAGAAAGTCCCCCCGGTGGCCGCATGATGTTGGGGGGGGGGGGGGTGATAATTGAGAGGATGTCTCCATCTGCTGTACACACACAGGAACTGCTGCATGATGTAACAGCAGGGAGCTAACATGAGCTAATGTGGCTATCCTGATTGTGCTCTTATTATGCTCATACTCTTCACTTCACAAGATGGAGAAGATGATTGGTGCCAGATCAAGTGCCTTCATAACAGAATCTCATGGAAAATAACTTGATCATGTCATTTAAAAGATGAATACATCACCTACAACCTTAAAACTACTAGTAGCATTATTAAACACTACAATATAAAAAAGCTCTCCTTGTATTTACATTACATTACATTTAGCTGACGCTTTTATCCAAAGCGACTTACAATAAGTACATTCGACCAGGAAGACACAACCTTGAAGAAAACAGAATCATATAAGTACATCAGGTTTCATAGAGCCAAACATTTCAAGTGCTACTCAACTGGCTTTAGATAAGCCAGTCCTTTATTAGTATAAAAGTGCTTCGTTAATAGTTCTATCGCTCGAAGTGGAGTCGAAAGAGATGAGTTTTCAGTTTGCGCCGGAAGATGTGCAAGCTATCTGCCGTCCTGATGTCAATGGGGAGCTCATTCCACCATCCTGGAGCCAGGATAGCAAACCCACGTGTTTTCGCCGATGGGAACTTGGGTCCCCCTCGCAGTGAGGGTGCAGCGAGTCGTTTGGCTGATGCAGAGCGTAGTGCACGCGCTGGGGTGTACGGTTTAACCATGTCCTGGATGTACGAAGGGCCAGATCCATTCGCAGCATGGTAAGCAAGTACCAGTGTCTTGAAGTGGATTCTAGCAGTTACCGGAAGTCAGTGAAGGGAGCGGAGGAGCGGAGTGGTGTGGGAAAATTTAGGAAGGTTGAAGACCAGACGAGCCGCTGCATTCTGGATGAGCTGCAGAGGTCGGATGGCACATGCAGGTAGACCAGCCAGGAGGGAGTTGCAGTAGTCTAGGCGTGAGATGACGAGAGCCTGGACCAGATTTACTGGTAAAGTTTGCTGTTTTGGAGGTCAACCTGGTTTTAGCTTCAGCAGTAGGAGGCATCAGTGTTATAGGAAATATCTTACTGCCGATAAAGTAGATTTGTATGGTCTTTTATTGGCCATTTTACTTTTGCTTTTCATGTTTATATGAATAACTTTATTGATCTATTTTCCTTTAACATTTGTGTGTGTATTTGCATAATTTCTATTCTTTTTTTAATTTAATTTTAGAACAATTTAGCTTTTTATAACCTTATAATCAGCTTGTAAACCAGCTGCATGTGAAACAAAATGGAACGCATCTCACAAACCCAACTCTGATCTTGTGTCTTAAAATAAGAAACTTTATTATCAATTAAATTACATGAAATTATGGGAAAAACAACCAGCCCAATTTTCATGAAACTTGGTTTGCAGACAGAACTCCTTTCAAATGACACACCTGTTCAGTGACATAATGTAAAGATGAAGAACTATGACCTTGTGTAGAAATGAAAGTATTAGACTCACAGTTGTTTATGTAAAGCTTGTGGATTTAATATGGCAATTTTCACCAGCAGATAGAATCAACACACAGGATTCAGTCCAGCTAAGTAAAATAAACGCACCACTCAGAGATCAGGGACACTACAAAATACACCTCTGACTCATCAACCCAAAATAAATGTTATATATCCTGTATAACACTTCCTCAGTAAGTACAGCATCAGAAACAGAGCAGCACTCCAGGCTTTGCATCGTGAAGAAACATCCACAGAAAGACACGTCCACCAAAACACCGTCACAGAGAGACGACTACACAACAGCTTCTGTGTGTACAGTATGAGAAGAAGTATTGTGTGTATTATATGAAAAGAAGTACTGCGTGTACTGTATGAGAAGAAGTACTGTGTGTACTGTATGACAAGTGGTGGAACAATACTCCTTTACTTCAGGAATACTACAGTCTAAAACTACTCCATTACAAGTCCTGAAATCAATAGAAATGTACGAAGTATTATCAGCTAAATGTCCTCTCATAAGCACTTGTTATGCAGAATGGCTCTTTTCACAGTAATATAGTATAATTATAATTGTTTATCCCTCACAAATACATGTACTGTAAGGGCATTTCATATTGTAGTTTGTTAATGTTGAACTTGTTAAAGAAGCAGAAATACTAGTCTTAAAATATTCCAATACAAGCCCAGAAACCAATAGGTTACTCAAGTAAAATTGAATAATTATTATCAGGTAAATGTAATTAAAGTATCAAGATTAAAGGTATCGTTAGAATATCTTTGTTTCACAGTAATATATTATTATAGAATATTATAGTGTTAACACATACATGTACTGTAAGAGCATTTCAATGTTCAATGTGGTACCACTTTTAGATACTTCTAAAGTGGGTTGATTTGTAGTGAAGTACTGCATTATTAAAATATATAGATTTTTCAAATGAATATTTTTTAACATAAACTGAAACGCATTTTTTAAATCTGGCTTTTATTAAGTATTTTATAACTCTCTGGTTTTGTTTTTTACTCTTCTTTTATTAATATCTTTATTGTTTATTTCCCTGCACTTTAACACTGTTAACACTTTATTGCTCGATTTTGTTTAACATTTACTACTTTTAACATTTCAGTGTATTCAACTGCTTGTTAAGCATTTCATTTGCTCGAAAGGAACTTTATAAATCAAGTTGTATTGATGGTATCATCTATTTTTACTTCACTATGGATTCAGCATATTAGACGTTAAAGGCTCCTGAACACGTTGAGTTCAGTCACTTTTAATTGTCTGTTTCGTCTCCTAATATGTGTCCTAGTTTTTGTTGCAAATGGAGCTGCTGTGATGCAAGAACAATGATGTCTCTTATCACAAAAAGCAGCTGGAATATGAAACGTAGTGCAGTGAAAAGTATGACGTTTACGACTGAAATGCAATGGAGTAGGAGTATAAAGTAGCATTACATGGAAATACTCAAGTACATGAAATCAGTACTCAGTTACATCCCACCACTGTGTATGACACACACACACGGGTTACACTACAACACAGTATATATACAGTAGCAGTGACTCTCAGTTTCTCTCTCTTCACAGCTCTGTGTGTGTGTTAATGAGTGTGAACACACTGGTTCTCCGTGCTGAGAGGCAGAAGGCGACTGTGCTGCCATTTTTTATTTTTTTCCGGTGACTCCAAACACATTTTCACGGTCGTGTCGCTCCCTCTCGAGTTCAGCCGGCGGCCATATGCTGCTGGAAAAGCCCTGCCGAAGTTTAAGTTCATTTCCTGACAAATGTAGCATCTGCAGGTCCGCAGAAAATTAGAAAAGTGTTTTTTTTATCTTTATTTACACTTCAAGATGATACCTCCTATTAAAACTGAGGAAGTCAATAACAGTACTTCACAGAGAAAGAACACAACACACGTTTCGGGTTGTGAACTGCCACCAGGCACATGTTCAGAGGTTTGGAAAATATTTTTTAAAAAGGAAATTTGACATTTCCCTGTGTTATAATGATCAGGGTTTATATGACTGGCAGTGGGACACTACGCTCTAAAGAAAAGTCTCAAGATAAAGAGTATGGACCTTGAAAAAAAGTATTAAATCCCTGTGATAGGATCAAAAACAGTCTGCAGTGAAGGGTACAAACTGTCCATTTAACATGTAGATATACTGTACAGCAGTCTCAGATTGTAAAACATACAGTAGATCGTACACATTTAGTGTAAAAGCAGAGACGACACAGAAAAAATTCCCAGTTTCCTTAAATCTAATCTAGCATCCAGCTCAATGCAAAGGAACACACATCAGCGTACAACAGCAGGAACACATTGTCTATCAGTTTGTTCTTAAATAAATCATACAAAAATAGTGTACAATCTGTCATGGTCCCTTTGATTCTCAGTGTCAGTGGTGGGTTTATAACTCACACACACACACACACACAAACACACACACACACACACACACACACTCACTGGGTCATAGCTAAGTGACGTCTGGAGTGCTGGTCCTCGGGGAGTTTCTGTTTCTCTGGTGGAGCTCAGCTGCTTCTCAAACAGTCCGACTCTCCACAGACCTTCCCTCTGTAACTCGTCCCGTCGCTCAGGTAATCTCTGCAGGTCTCCGGGGAGGAAAATAAACCAACTTCCCTACGATCCCTCATTCCCCTCCGAGCCCTCGGGCGGCGCTGGAGGCCCCTCCGCCGTCGGGGACTGGGCCCCTCCAGGACCATCTGCGAACAAACCCAAAAAGACACAAGAGAAGTGTTGCAGTCACTCTGAAGGACACGAGGCAAAAGGAGCATTGACAACATTTGATATTTTATATGTCTGTGTTATGTGTAAGAATGTGTAACGTTGCTGCCTTCTTGGCCTCAGCATTGTAAATGAGATTTTGTCTCAATGTTTTCACCTGGTTAATTAAAGGTTAAATACAAAATAAAAATACATTTGAGGGTATAGGAGGGGAAACAGTTAAATCCCAAATTTAAAACTTTCAATTTGAAGACTTTTCTATTTCAAATGTTGAACCTCGAAAACATTTTAATACTTTTACATTAAACACTTTAACCTTTAAAACTGTTATACAATTGTGTCACTTATACCTATAAAAACCTTACCTCTATAACCTTAAACTACCAAACAATGCATTACTTTTAAAACATGATAAAGTAGTTTGTGCTTACTTTAGTTTGTTTGCACTTGCATATACAGAGTCCATCAAAAACATTGAGACGTTGGATTGGAACTGACTAGCTTTTGGAGTATGCAAGACAAATTGTGTCATCATTTCTGATTTACCAGGGTGATTATTAACTCGCTATCCACAAAAACACTCTGTCTAGCAGCAGTCTAAATGTTCCTGTTGTAGCCACACTCATGCCAGAGTCGTGATGAATTATTTTTGCCTGTTTTAGCCAATTCCCAAGTGGCCCTCCAAGCCCAAACATGGACCAAATGTTTCTTACTAAAGCTGATCCGAACCCTAAATCAACGACAATCTGTGCAAAAATCTGGCAGCCATATTTGTATCAGACCATGGGGACGAGTGTCACAGCGGGTTGTAATAAAATACACATGTAAAGAGCAGCGTCAGATTTTGGATTATTGAATACAAATAATCTATGTCGAAAAAAGGTTATTAACACCACTTTATGATTTTTCAAGTAAAAAAGCTAAAGTTGGGCTATACAGGAACTACAGCACGGTCACTTCGCTTCACCACCGCTAAGCTAAAGGTGGCTAATGTTGGGCAATAAAGGAACTACAGCACGGTCACATGACTTCACGTGACCACTGCTAAGCTAAAGGAGGCTAATGTTGGGCTATACAGGAACTACAGCACGGTCACATGACTTCACGTCACCACCGCTAAGCTAAAGGAGGCTAATGTTGGGCTATAAAGGAACTACAGCACGGTCACATGACTTCACATCACCACCGCTAAGCTAAAGGAGGCTAATGTTGGGCTATAAAGAAACTACAGCACGGTCACATGACTTCACGTCACCACCGCTAAGCTAAAGGAGGCTAATGTTGGGCTATAAAGGAACTACAGCACGGTCACATGACTTCACATCACCACCGCTAAGCTAAAGGCGGCTAATGTTGGGCTATAAAGGAACTACAGCACGGTCACTTGACTTCACGTGACCACTGCTAAGCTAAAGGAGGCTAATGTTGGGCTATAAAGGGATAAAGCGCTATAATAAATATAAGGATTATTATTATTATTATAACTACAGCACGGTCACATGACTTCGCTTCACCACCGCTAAGCTAAAGGTGGCTAAAGTCGGGCTATAAAGGAACTACAGCACGGTCACATGACTTCACATCACCACCGCTAAGCTAAAGGAGGCTAATGTTGGTCTATAAAGGAACTACAGCATGGTCACATGACTTCACGTCACCACAGCTAAGCTAGAGGAGGCTAATGTTGGGCTTGAGGACATTTAATCGTCTCATTTAGACAAATTTCAGTTCACAAATTGGGTATTAGCGGATGTAAAACGTTAACATCTCTTCAGCTTGTGTTAACCACAGACCTTATTTCAGACATCCGACCATGATCTGACTTTTAGACAAGGGATGGCATAATTGCTGACTCATTTCTAGGATTAGGGCTCCTTCCTTCAGCAGATAATTATAATAATTAAAAAGAGCACATCATGTACGTTACCTTTGAGGGTCATCTCAGCCAGTTTCAGAGGCAGATCTCCGGGGTTAACGCCTGCCGGAGACCCCAGGATGTCGGGCAGAGCGTTCCTCCGGCCCGACCGACCCGAGGTGGCGAAGTCCAACACGGGCTCCACCTCCGTCATCTCAGGACCGCTCTGAAGTCACAGAAAGGGGGAAGTTAGGTCAAGTAAAATCAGCCTAAATTAGTGTATAATAGGCCTACAAGCCATCAGGCAGCACAACAAAGGGTCAACAATGTGACACTATTACTGGACATAAAATACACACTGTTTTCACACACACATGTAAATAATATGTACACATCATTTCCATTTTTTTTACCTGTAAATGCTAACAGTTAGCCATAATATTAGCTGAATAAGCATTAGCTTTGTTTATTTTTAAGGAGGAGCATTTGCAGTATCACACATTGGCACAAATGTTGTTTATCTATAATAATAATAATAATAATAATACAAATAGTAGATAGTGAGTAGATATGTCTTGTAAACCATTACAATCAAAATCAATAGTATGTTTGATTATCACATTACATAATATCCAAATGCAATACAGTAAAGAAAGTAACATTCTACACCCCAACTAAGTGATTAGTCATTATTATTCCCCCCCCCCCCCAGCCTGTGTCTAACCTCATAGAACATTCATGACATTACATTTGACCGACGTTTCAGTTTTTGAGAAACAGAGGACATTTATCTCGATGTGTCTACAAAACGCTCCTGATCGGGTTTAGATATTCGAGCATGCAGAGAGGAAGGAGATTATCAGTGGAGCGGAGGATGTGTGTGTGTGTCTGCTCTCATGGCAACCAGCAGCTGGGGAGTCAGCTCAGGGCTGCATGGTGACAGGCAGAATTACATCCCCTCACACACACACACACACACACACACACACACACACACACACACAAACACACACACACACACACACACACACACACACACACACACACACACACACACACACACACCACACACACACACACACACACACACACACACACACACACACACACACACACACACACACACACACACACACACACACACACACACACACACAGCCGCTGTTGCCATGACAGCAATGCAGAAAAAGGCACCACTGGCAGGTAAACATATAACTCAAATCCTTTCTCCCTCTCTACTCTCCCTCACGTCCCCCCCCCCCCGACCCCCCCACCGCGTCTCTCCCTCTGCTGTTGTGTCGCCTCACTTTAAATAACCTTATTCTGGGGAGAAAAGATCCCGTTTCCATCCCTCTCTGTTCAACAAAGGAAGGACATGTGAGCTAATGCAGCACTTCAGGTCTGCAGGAAAAAGGGCCACAGGTTAGCCATCTGTTAGCCTGCAGCGCTACTGTAATGTAGCCCATGGCATATTAAACAATCAACACGTGTATTTGTTGATAAATGCTTATAATGCTAATGCTGCATCTGTCACATTTAATCAAACAAAGCCCATCATTTGCAATTGCAGTAGCCAGTCTCCATCTTTGTGTCGGATGAAAGATGTTGAGAAAAGGCCACTACTATGCCTTATACAAGCTTAATGACTATGCTATAACAGTGTGTGCTTGGGATAAGATATATCAATCATTTATGTGTATTATAGTTAGCAGTTTTCTAATTTAACAAATGCTACCTATTTACATCGTCCATTCTTCCCCTAACATGCAGAGTCACTGCTTACGGTATAATTATGAGAAAGTGTTGAAGGAAATATGTTTAAACTCGTTTATTATTATGTATGTATTTAAAAAAGGCCACTACTATATTTTATATGGGCTTTGATCACATGCTACATTAGCACTTAAGGCTAACAGTTTGTGCTGTCATCATTTATGCTAATTGTAACTAGCACGACTGATTTCATTATTAAATAAATGCTAAACCTGTCACCTTGAATCAAACAAAAGGCCCACAAAAAGTCCCACAAATTGATGATAAAATATCAAATAGCTAAATATATTTCTGAATATTTTAAACACTAACAGAAAAGCTATCAATCATTTATCGTTATAGCTAGCACAATAATTTAATAATTAGCATGATTGTGTTGGAAGAAATATGTATGTGTTTACAGAGACAAGTTTTGTTAACAATTATTATACATTAAAGGTGGGGTAGGTAAGAATGGAGAAACCAGCTCGAGTGCGCTAGAATTTGAAACTACGCAGCCGAAAAAAATCTGCCCCTTCCTTCAGACTTCCTTACAGAGCCCCTCCTCCAACACACACGAACGCGCACATGACCAATGAGGGCACGAGATAAGTTTGTGCACCAGATGGAAGGCTGACAGGCAGGTAGGCCATCCAGTTATTTTAGCCGGGCCGGCTCAGATGATTGGTCGTGCTTTTTACACAGATGAAATGTTTTTATGTATTTATTGTCAAATCATTTAATGTATTCATTGCTATCGGGATGTTAAGAGCATTCCATGGAATATAACAAAAGTGAATTACCTACCCCACCTTTAAGTTGTGCATACTATGAACGGAACAAATACAAATAAAATGTTTACACTAATTAATTATTATGTTTTTATTTAGAAGAAGCTACTATGGCTTGAATTAGCATAAAGGCTAAGCTACAATAGAGCTCATAGGGCTAACAGATGGTGTTGTTATCAATCATTTACTGTAATCATAGCAAGCACAAATCATTTGAGGGTTGACTAAATGCTACATGTGGCCTTTATTGATTGAAGGTGGCAGCTTGGTAAACATTAAGCTTCTCTTTAAAAGCACTAACATGTCATATAAAAATAATGTATATATGTATCCATGTCAATCAGAAAGCATATGTCCTTCCTGCCCACACAGCATCTTAATGTACACACAGTAAAACACTAAATATTAATGCATTTATGATTTATTGATGGTGAATGCTGTTGCACTTTTAATGTTTTACCCTGTCTAACACCCTCAGGCTGACCTGGGTCACAGCCACGGTTTACATACCGAGTCATTATTTTTTTAAACGCCGCCTCCATAATCTTTCACAATTTGATATAAATATGTTTTGTTACTGTTGGGAAAATACTGAATGTACTCTTCCAATATGAGAGAAGACATGATAACAAAGGTATCCCAACTGTAGAACATGACAGGATGTGTGATTACCTAGAAGAGCATCAGGACTGTTTGAGGCATATGATAGCTATGTGATTAACATAATGATTCAGCCTCTATGGAGAGAGACATGTGACAAGCATGCTCATTTCTGACGTGGAGCTAATCTGAAGTAAACATTGAAGACTGCTTTCTATTCCTCCATCTTGTGACTGAGTAACTCCCTCTCTTGGATATCAGCATGTGAAGGACACTGTTTAGGAACTAGTTGATGCTCTGTATGTGATGACTACTTCCATTCTGGAGAGGATCAGAAATACATGGATCCTGAGATTGAAGCTCAAGCCGGTGACGAGTGAGATTTTCCTAACAGTTACAGATTAAATGTACGCATATTCCCCTGTATTCTGCATATATTGTGTAAATAAACCTTAATTATTATATCAGCATATTCCATATTCCATGTCTTAATCTGAAAATGTCACAATCAAAATAAGGTTAATTGGGAACATTGAATATGCTGCATGACCTGGTGTTATGAGCGCATCCACATTAATGATCAGATATCGCCGTTTATTTAAAGAAAAACAGACAAAATACTAAACAAAACCCTAAACTCTTAATCAAAAGATTCGAAGCCATACGGCGTATATCTTGGGTACATTTTTCTCTTTCGCCATGCAGTCTCTATCGTGCGGTTAATAAATTGTTTGCCTTCCACTCATCGTGAGCACCTGTCACCTGTCGTCTATTAAAGGGTTAGCCTATGTGACGTCACCATAATAATACATTGATAGTCGGCATCAATCAAAACAATAATACATATAAATAATAAAACATCATATACAAAACATTCATAATATTTCCTTAATTCAAAATGGCTTCAGCACCTGGGAATTATTGTCACATTCAGAGTAATTGTTTGTTATTAGCATGTTAACGTAGCATATGGCTAATTCTAACTTCAGGTTTCTGTAGCTCTCCAGTGTTCCTCTCTCTAGCTGCAGATTATATTCACCCTTTAGTTGGATTTTAAGGCTTGAAGCCAGAATATTGTTCCAGTTTCTCCGGCCTCACGTGATGAAGCTGCTTCTTTGTCCTGGATCAGAGGCCAACAGAAGCTTTAATAAGCTCCCATAAGAGGCTGAGCAGCAGGAAGGAAACTTAGTGTAACGTGTCTCACTTCCTGCTTTAGTCTATCGGACAGACTTTACCTAATATCCTGGAAACATCTGCTATCTGTTAATCTGGTTAATTAAAATGAGACTGTAGCGGAAATACTGACCTGCAGGTCTATAAGGAAGTTCCATTTAATAAAAGCAATCAGGCCACGATGTGTGCTGATTTCAGATATTTAGATTATAATAGATCAGATTGATGTTATTGATCACAAACTGTTATGTTACGAGGAGGCTGTGGCTCAGTAGAATAGTGCGTTGAACTTTGAATCAGGGGATAGCAAGTTCGAGTCCCACAGCAGTTAGCATGTCGTTGTGTCCCTGGGTAAGACACTTCACCCCAAATTGCTCCTGTGGGGATTGTCCACAGTACTGAATGTATGTAAGTCGCTTTGGATAAAAGCGTCTAACAAGTGACGTAATGTAATGTAATGTAATGTCACAGCAGCATGCTAACGAGGCATTGCACATTAATCTAAAATAAAATAAGATAAGTAAATAAATACAAATCAACAGTGGACGATAAACATCTTTAGAGTATCTCTATCAAATATTTGTCTTAAAGTCATTTATCCTACAATTACATTTTCTGGTTCTGAAAAGTGGAGATCTGTATGATTTTCCTTCGACTTTTTTTCAGCAATTTTATGTATTTTTTAGTTTTTTTAAACATTGTTAAGTTGTCATTTTGAGCACTGAGTAATTGCATTTGAATTTCTTAATATCTTAACTACTATTACAAACCAAACATTTGATAAAATAATGGAATAATATATATATTTCTGCACTGAGTACATTTGATTTTAGTAACATTTTCAATTATTCACTTTCCTTGTATGGTATTAGTACTTAAAATAAAGGACCTGAGCACTTCTTCCACCTCT